AAAAAAATTAAAGGGTCACTTCATAATAACGATTAAAATGGAAAAAAAATTTTTTGAGGTTTTCTGACATTTTTACCGCAAATAATGTTTAAATTGATGAAAAAAAAAAAAAATTTTTTCAGAGAAGATAAAGCGTAGTTTTGAAAAAAAAATTACAGACTGCACAAAAATTAATTAGAAATTTGTCTCAAAAAACGGTGTTAATCGGGGTCGAAATCTGATTTGGGTCATCAACTTTAATTTTAATTTAATTAAAAGTTGATGAACAAAAGCATAGGACGGAAAAAAAGAATCCTGCTAGAAACAATTGGATTTTGTTTTCTTCAGTGTCCGGAAGGTTTTCCAAATAATCAAAAAAAAAATTTTTTTCGAATATTTTTTATTTTTTTCATCAATTTACACGTTATTTACGGTAAAAATGTGAGGAAACCTCAAAGAATTTTTTTCCATGTTAATCTTTATTATGAAGTGTTTAAGTTCAAAAACCGTGACTCTTTCATTTTTTTCAAAAGTTTGACTGTTTGAAACAAAGAAACGATTGGCTAGATCGAGATGAAACTTCACAGTTCTTCTGGGTATATCGAACTGTAAAAGTCATGCTTAACATTAGTCATTTCGTGAATATTTCTAATTTAGCCGTCAATTTTCTAAAAAACCATAAAATACCCTCTTTTTCTTGTTTTTTAAAATTCGTGTAATAGATGAAAAACAAATTCATGAATATTATTATCTTCTTACTTTTCTTTCCATTAAAATAAAATCGCAGAAAAATTATTTATTTACGTCAATGCTCAGCAGAATAAAAAACCCAGTACTCAGTCCCCCCTCTCCACCTCTTCTGTTATATTTATAAAGAAAAATATACCGTTTTCTCCCAGTTCATAACTCTGCAAATTGTATTCGCGTGTTGAATTTGGGATACTGGGATTGTGCCTCGTTTATCAACCAAAGCGGAGTTGTCTCTCTCTAAACGCTTTTAAATTCAAGTATTTATTGTTGTCAGACGTTGATTGTGTTTTATACAATGTACTCGTCGCAAATATCATATAAAATTCGATTAGTATAATGGACTTGATTTATCTGTTGATATAAAATATATGAAATGTTTAATTGAATGGTCGATATTTTATGCGAGGCGATTTGTTTCATTTTAAAAAACATATATTTTAGCACTAGCTCTCGGGTTTTTTACTCTGTTATAAAAATATTGGGGTAATTCAAACAAAATTAAAAAAATGCTGAAAAAATTAGAAAAATCCTTTTAAATGAAATCAAACAATATTCTTGGATGGCAAAAGTCTAGGTATACAAAGACAATCATAGACAATTCTTTGTTCTAATTAGCTTAACTAGACTTGTTTCAATTATTTGTGGTTTTATGAAGAACTTTTGCAATTTATAACACGTTTCGTAATAAATAGAAACAAATGAAGGAATGAAGCTCTATTTTATAGAATCTAAATAGAATCATACAATGTGTGTCCAAAATTTGACGCTTGCTTGTTTGTCACGGTTAATATGCATAAGAGTTATGTGTTTATTAAATAAAATTTTGAAAAATATTATTGTAATTCCCGGTAATTATTTATATTTGATGGTATGTCCACATAAATACTAAGTTTTTAGAGACATACGTGTATCAAAATGTTCTATTTGAAATTGAAGGATGAAAAAAGTAATTTAATTATAATGTTGATCAAATCAACTTCGTATTCTTGTTTTACTGGTTTCTCTTAACTTTGTTTTTGTAAATAGCTATTTTGCTAAGTTGTTGGAATATTACATTTCCTTGACACAATATTTCTAAATAATTAATAATTTCCCGGTAATTATTTATATTTGATGGTCGCCTGCCAAACTTCATCAATCTAAATGTGGGACACTATAAAAATGGATATACAAGGTGGTCCAAAAGTACCGGATATCTGGGAATATTCAAGGTGTAGGGTAAAAGTAAAGCACACGGAGTTTAGGACCCTGGCTATGCGATGGTGACCTTGAATTTGACCTGGACGAAGACCTTCAAAGTCATATCAAGGTCACGAGAAATTTTTTAAATGGGACCCCATAATTTTGACCCCGGAAATGGTGAGAGCGAAAAATATTAGGTTCGTATATGACCTTGAAATTACCACTTTCTTTTAAAATAACTTCTGATTGTAAGACTCTCTTTTTAACGTTTTTGAGCTGCTTTCGATATGTTGTATACCACTTGTTGTTACATCTATCCTGGGACGTATCGGTACCTGCGTTTTTTTACTTTTTTTTTTAATGTAAAGTGTATTTCTACGACNAAATAGGAACAAATGAAGCTCTATTTTATAGAATCTAAATAGAATCATACAATGTGTGTCCAAAATTTGACGCTTGCTTGTTTGTCACGGTTAATATGCATAAGAGTTATGTGTTTATTAAATAAAATTTTGAAAAATATTATTGTAATTCCCGGTAATTATTTATATTTGATGGTATGTCCACATAAATACTAAGTTTTTAGAGACATACGTGTATCAAAATGTTCTATTTGAAATTGAAGGATGAAAAAAGTAATTTAATTATAATGTTGATCAAATCAACTTCGTATTCTTGTTTTACTGGTTTCTATTAACTTTGTTTTTGTAAATAGCTATTTTGCTAAGTTGTTGGAATATTACATTTCCTTGACACAATATTTCTAAATAATTAATAATTTCCCGGTAATTATTTATATTTGATGGTCGCCTGCCAAACTTCATCAATCTAAATGTGGGACACTATAAAAATGGATATACAAGGTGGTCCAAAAGTACCGGATATCTGGGAATATTCAAGGTGTAGGGTAAAAGTAAAGCACACGGAGTTTAGGACCCTGGCTATGCGATGGTGACCTTGAATTTGACCTGGACGAAGACCTTCAAAGTCATATCAAGGTCACGAGAAATTTTTTAAATGGGACCCCATAATTTTGACCCCGGAAATGGTGAGAGCGAAAAATATTAGGTTCGTATATGACCTTGAAATTACCACTTTCTTTTAAAATAACTTCTGATTGTAAGACTCTCTTTTTAACGTTTTTGAGCTGCTTTCGATATGTTGTATACCACTTGTTGTTACATCTATCCTGGGACGTATCGGTACCTGCGTTTTTTTACTTTTTTTTTTAATGTAAAGTGTATTTCTACGACATTGAAGAGAAAATAAAGTTTTAAATAAATAACATCTCGGTTCCAGAGATTCAGTTAAGGGATTGATTATATAAACTTAGTTTTGCCGAACCAGAAATATCTTTCACTGACAAAGTAGACATTTGTTTGAAATTTCACTATCAACATAGCGAGTTAACATGTCGAAAACTTTTTCAGTCGTAAAACTTTTAGGTGACCAAATAACCTAAAANAAATAGGAACAAATGAAGCTCTATTTTATAGAATCTAAATAGAATCATACAATGTGTGTCCAAAATTTGACGCTTGCTTGTTTGTCACGGTTAATATGCATAAGAGTTATGTGTTTATTAAATAAAATTTTGAAAAATATTATTGTAATTCCCGGTAATTATTTATATTTGATGGTATGTCCACATAAATACTAAGTTTTTAGAGACATACGTGTATCAAAATGTTCTATTTGAAATTGAAGGATGAAAAAAGTAATTTAATTATAATGTTGATCAAATCAACTTCGTATTCTTGTTTTACTGGTTTCTATTAACTTTGTTTTTGTAAATAGCTATTTTGCTAAGTTGTTGGAATATTACATTTCCTTGACACAATATTTCTAAATAATTAATAATTTCCCGGTAATTATTTATATTTGATGGTCGCCTGCCAAACTTCAGCAATCTAAATGTGGGACACTATAAAAATGGATATACAAGGTGGTCCAAAAGTACCGGATATCTGGGAATATTCAAGGTGTAGGGTAAAAGTAAAGCACACGGAGTTTAGGACCCTGGCTATGTGATACCACTTGTTGTTACATCTATCCTGGGACGTATCGGTACCTGCGTTTTTTTACTTTTTTTTTAATGTAAATGTGTATTTCTACGACATTGAAGAGAAAAGAAAGTTTTAAATAAATAACATCTCGGTTCCAGAGATTCAGTTAAGGGATTGATTATATAAACTTAGTTTTGCCGAACCAGAAATATCTTTCACTGACAAAGTAGACATTTGTTTGAAATTTCACTATCAACATAGCGAGTTAACATGTCGAAAACTTTTTCAGTCGTAAAACTTTTAGGTGACCAAATAACCTAAAATTCAAATATACATTTTCTTTATTTTGTTTACCTAACTTCTTTAAAGATACTATTTTTTATTTGACTGGGTATTTATACTGGACTAAAAAATTATATTATAAATTTAGCTTTGTCTAACCAGATATATCTCATACTGAGAAAGTAGGTAATTCTTTCAATATTTTTATAACACTTTACACAGCTTACGTTTCGAAAAACTCTGTTTTCGTAGGTACATTATTATAACCGTTATTTATAGTTTTGCGAATGCCGTTTCAGAAAAATATTTAAATTTAAAATAGCAGGATTGTTACTCGCAGTATTTTCTGGTAATATATTTGTACCTACATACTCATAAATAGTTTCTCCGGCAAACTTTAACAATTTTAGATGGAATATATAGATATTGACAGAAATCCATTTCTCGTATGCATCTGTCGAAGAACTGAAAACGTAAACTTTGTGGTACATTTACATATCAAGGGCGCCTTTTACAATAACTGAATAAAGTCATAACTTTTGAGGAATGAAACCATATTACATATTGGTAGTATCTGTTTACCTGGAGAATATTTTCGGTTGCAATGCAGAATTAATTTTTATTTTAAAGTATTAATCACCTAATCTAACCTACCGTGATAATAACCAATTCGTTCAAGAAAACAATGCAATCCGGATTTTCTTCGCCGTACATGTTGCGTTTTTATTTATTCAAAGTGAAATTTCGATTCAAGCTTTCAGATACATACGTAATTCTCGTGTTTATGCGTGTTTCATTTAGCTGAGGTAAAACCATCGAGTAAAAATACCCAGTGGGGCAAACATGTTATTGTTTTACATGACCACATGAACGTGATGCCCTCGAGTAAACATTCGTTGGCAGTGGCGGCTGCTGAAAATAAAGGGGTTGTTATATTTTGATAATGAAGCATGGAACCCAAACCGTTTTTGGGGAGAGATTTCTATGCACACAAAGAGAATTTTCAAATGGAATCTTTGGAATGACCACTTCTTGAGAACACTAAATTGGAAACAAAATATAGTGTAAGTAAAACAATACGTGAAAAAGTTCTTAAGGTTAGGCAAAGTTCAATATTGTTATTATTTATTGTTTCTCGTACTTCTCGATAACTTTAAATGAGGATATACCGAGAGATTTATATAATTTACACAGACTCATATTAGTTACATACTTACGATATTTATTTATAACATACTTAAGTAGTTAAATCACTATGCTACATTATTGCACCACAAATGAATGTAAACATGCCTACTGAACAACTAACACAGTTCTCTACACATGCGCAGTAGTACAGCACCGGATGATCACATGATTAATGTGATGGAGAATTGCATTTCATAAAAAGTTGAAGATTTGTCCAACAAAATTCGAAACACATTTAATTTTACAGAATGCTTGAAATTTTTTTACGATGCAATAAAATTCACTTTACAACCTTAACACGAGAATAATTCCAAAACAAAGTTGTTTTATTGTCATTCTGTTGCGAAGTATAAAATTGAAAATAGGTCGCGTTTCTGACCCGTCTATGTGTCGCCATTGGAATGTTTTATTAAAGGGGAAGATGCTGATCAATAATTTGTAAGGTAATTACAGGTAACTATGCTTTCATGGAAATGTTTGTGAAAGTAATTTGCCTGTCTTTAAACAATTTAATTTTTAATGTTTTATTGATAAAGTGGTTACTGCTCTTTTTATTATTTGCTTTCACTGCAAAAATTTTTAATACGGGAACATTTAATATTTCAATGTATGGGTTTCCCACCGGAAATGATCATGTTGGTAAGCATTTTAATTTTGACTGTAGGGAAAAATATTGCCTAAAAAAATTCTAAGATCTTTTAGGGGTTCAATAGCTCTACATTAGCCGTAAATTAAAAAATTATATTATTCACACTTAATAATATCAGAACTTTAAAAATTGTATTTACAATAAAATAAAGTAACAAAAAAAATACAAAGTTTACCTAATAATTAACAAAATAGTTCCTTGGTTTATGAATATTAAAAAATATGAAAAAATATAAAAATATAAATATAATCTTGTGTCATCGTATTTCTTACGTAGGTACCTAAGTCTTAATGCAAAAAGTTCCTTTCTACTGAGCCACTTGTTGCAGGAATTGTTACACTGGCCAAAACAATTTGTATGTTTCCGCAAATATCATTTTAAATTCCTTTTATAATATTCCTATCATTTTTTGAACTTCTAAATTACGAAATTGTTCGTCTCTGTACAAAATATTAAGTTCGTTTTTCAACCTATCTATTTCAAAAACGTTTGAATAAATTTGTACTAAACATTCAAACGATTTTTTGTGAAATTTGTTTGCATATTCGGGAAATTTTGAGGACTATATTAAAACAAAAAAATTTAAATCATGTAAATTCCCAAAACGAGTAGGTTCTTAATTAAAGGGAAATATATTTCGAATTCGTCACAACTTTTGCCCCGTTTACTTGGTAATCCAGTAATATTTTCCGCATAATTAAACATATTTTTAAATTTTTCTTCGTTTCTTAATTAAGAAATTCTTTGACTAGTGATTTTAAATTGTTTATAGCAGTAGTTTACGTAATTACATCTTGAAAATGATGTTTCAAGAAATAAAACAATATTGTGAGATAGATTTATTATTAGCTACCAATGTAGGTATTTGATAATATAAGTATCTATTAAATTACGTTAAATTTAGTCTTCCTTTGTTTTGTTGTAAGTAAGTTTTTTATTTACTTGACTTTTAGATGTTAGTTACATATTTTTAAATGGAACAGGTTTTTTGTACTTTTACAACCTATAAGTATTTTCGATTTCGAAAGTTACATGTCATCTTGCTTTGTTCCTATTTAAATAAATATTATTAATTGTTAAGTCTTGTTGTTTGTATAAACTCGTTTAGATTTTATTCAATTTGTCTTGAAATATTTGCTCTTTTGCTCGTTTTCTGTTGTGTGACACGAACAAGGTCCTGATTTTCTAAGTTGAACGAATATACTTTTTAATAAATTTGATTTAGGATCAAATCAAATAGTTCTCAAAAATATTTATTATTATTTTTTATTTATTAGTGTTAGGGTTTGGGACACATTATGTAATAACGTACGCAACATCATCACCTGTAGTATGAGTGTCAAAAAATATTTATGTTCCTTTGTTTATTTTAAAACTAAATTAAGAAAAATGAGCCGTTGGTACAGTGCTCAAACTTTCCACATAAATTAAACATAAATAAAACATGATAATTCTAACTTGTTCACAGTCACATAAGCTTGATATTTTCTGATACGAGGATGTGACACCAGGTTTAAACGCGCCTTAGAGAATCCAGCAAGTCGCTGAAACTGTAATTCGTTTGGAAGATACCATACTGTAAAATCTGCGCCCCAGATGGGGATGAACTAAAACTTAGTTCACCACTGAGTGTAATATACATAAATATTTGTTATTCTGAAATTAAATTAGTAGGTTAAGTAAAACTTGTGCTTTCCATAATTAGAGTAGATATTCTGGCCATGCAAATAAGTTTCATTAGTGGTCTTAACAGCGTCTCTAAAGCAAGTTAGGAAAAGTGCGTTTTTAATGTAATTTTATGTGTCAAAATGTACACACATGGCTGAAAATAAGAAGATAAGCTAATAGAATTAACTATTGATGTTACTTTGTAGGAAGGTTTGATTAAAAAAGAATGGTCTAGTTTTGCTTTTAATAAACTCAAAATTTAAAACTGAATATTTATGAAGTTGTAAAAGTCACAGCGTTTAGCTACTTTTGACGCACTATCTGAGTAAAGTCCACATACACGTACAAAGACTCGAACCACGAAATTTTATTTTGAATTTTTCAGTTCCGTTTAGGCACCTTCCTATTATTCCGGCGTATTTTGATATGAACGTCTGCTTTTAAAATTACGACTTTATCAGAACGCAAATTCGCCTTTGATGAAAAAGGAGGGCGAAAAAGCTCACCTCGAAATCATTCATCCGCGTCGACATTGGAATTTGAAAGGAGATTTCAGAACGTTTAAACGAACATTTTGTGCGATAATATCGACATAAACTTATTTCCTGAATATCGCAGTTACATTAGATTTTGGATATTTCGAATAAACGAGTAGTAGAGACTTTTAATACTGGTCTGGAAAATTTGTTTTTCCACAAGCGAGTCGACCTTTTATTAATTTAGACATGTTTAAAAATTCGCATAGTAGGAGAGGCACCTATACTATAGAATTGGCGTGGATGAAACACTTGCTACAGCCCATGATGTTTTTTGTTATATTAAATATGGCTACATTTTTAAAAATTCATATTAGTGTATGACGGAGATATGACTAGTTCTACCATTCAAGGCATATATGATGGTTTTAGAGAGAACACAGTGTTCCACATTTCTTCTTTTCCACTAAGGATCTTTACGGATGATTACAGAATGGAAATATTTTAAAAAGAACATGAAATGGAAAAATAAAATAAAATTGACACAGGAGGAGGAGAAATTTTTATAGTTGGAATGAAAAAGGAAGCGTTATGCTGCTACAGATGAAAAAAATGAAAATACAAAATTTTATTGATGTAAGAATGTAATTCGTTAAAAATTCAAACAATCGCTTATATCCCAAACTTACCCTAGTCTACAATAATTAACCTATTTGTTTTGTAGGATTATTAACTTCAAAAAGGAAATTCTTGGATGTTGTATCTATAAATTCAGATTGCAGTTAAAGTCTAAATGATAAAATTATTTCTTTTATTTGCAATTACTGTTTCATTTTATTTTATTTACTGGCAATTTCATTTTGTACTACAGTACAATTCTACAGTATACTATTGTCCCAAAATATACAGGGTGATTCACAACTTATCCAAAAAAATTTGGAAATAGATGCGGCATGAGATATGACTCCATATTATCGTTAAATAAACTTTTGTAAAATCCTTAGTTTCCGAGAAAAAATTGTTTAAATTGTAGTACTTTCAAGCATTACATCGCTGGACAACTGTAGTCTCTGTCCCTAGCATCATTCTCAATATGCGTGGAGAGCCACGTGGTCTCAGCGACTCCGAATACTGAAATCCGATTTTATAATCGTTGTTGCGATAGTGTTTACAATAGTTTTTAGTAGTTTAGTAACTGGCTTGCGTGTATAGCAACTCGGTGTTGATAAATATCGTTTTAATTTATGGTGAGACAACATTTTATTATGATGAAGCATTTGTGTTATGGTGAAACAAGACAGCATTTGTGTTAGTTCGTAGAAACTGAGTAAAACGGACCCAAATGTGTTTACACGTCGGGAGACAAAATTTTGAACAGTTGTAACATCAAGTATGTCAAATTATTTTATTATTTAAAATCACAGATTTATTTTATTAATTAATAATAACAACGGCAAAAGCATTTGAATTTGCTCATATAAAACAGGTGCTATAAAATTCTGTTTATTTCTTTTCTTGCGAAATTCTTTCAAGTTTTTGTACGTTTTTATCACACTTTGCCGCCATGCCGGTCGCATTGTACGAGGGCATGTTTTACAGTGGACCAGTTTCCAGTGTCATGCAGAGGTGTATTTTTAAATCATTTTCGAACTGCCCTTTTTGATTTTTTCTTTAAAAAATTGTTATTGTAAGAGTCTCCTGTACATCCAGATTTTTAAGTTCTGAATCACCCTGTATATGTAGATATAAATATTTTTAATTTTTATGAGCTTTAAAAAATGTATTTTCCACAAAGTATAAATCGACTAATTTTCCCTGTTAAAGGTTAAATAGGTCGCCACTAAGCTGCTTTATTTAACATATCACATCCCTTATAACAAATACGGAAATAAATACCAATGGATTTTCCCTTCGCGAAAAATGTGTAACTTTCTAAAACGGCATATAGTTCATGTTAACA